CATCACAACAAGAAAAAAAATGAATAAACAAAAAACCTCTAAACCTTGCTAGGGAGAGGCAAAGATATAAAATGTCACCAAAATATTTGTACTTTCATATTTTTTTGAAATAAAATAAAAAATTAAATAAAAATGCATGCTTAAAACAAACAAACAAAAAAGCCACACTTGAATTATCTTTTTAAAAAGAGTAGTGCTAGCTTATTTAGTTCATCACTGGTTATTTCTAAAAGCTGAACAGATATGAGATATGAAATTCTGAGTGAGTTTGTATTAAAAACCATCCTCGTAATCAAGCCAATTATTATTTGCAGTACTACACTTGCCTTTCTCATTTGGCATTGAAAAAAATCAAGGTTTTTGGTGAAAAGTGAATACATACATATCTGCAATCTCAGATTAGCCCATTTTAGTTTCTTAGGACTTCTTACCCCTATTCATCCACATATCATCAGTCATTCCAAACATGCTGTACAGGATTGCTCAAAATGTGTTACGATCTAACCCAATGTTATCAAATCTTCCATCAGTTCTGCCCACCAAGCGGTGAAAAAGTCTTATGAGACACTCTATTTCACGTTTTTGACTGTAAAATGAAAAGACAAATAAATACAGAAAGACCCACAACACCTCTTTATCAGAGAATTAAGGTCACAGCATAAATCACTGCTCCCTAATATTGGAAAGACAAACATGCAGATTCAGAGAATTACAGATCATGAGAGCAGAAGCCCAAAGAAATAACAGAAAAACTCCCGGAGCTAATAAATTATATAGCAAGGTTGCAGGATACAAGGTTAACATACAAAAGTCAATTGCTTTCTTATACCAGAAACGAACAATCGGAATTTGAAGTTTAAAACATAACACTATTTATATTAACACTAAAATAACTAACTACTTAGGTATACACCTAACAAAATATATACAAGATCTATGTAAGGAGAACTAAAAAACTGATGAAAGAAATCACAGAGAGCTAAACAATGGAGAGATATTCCATGTACATAGGGAGATTCACTATTGTCAAGATGTCAGTTATTCCAAAATTCACCTATAGATTCAACATAACCCCAGTCAAATTTTAGCAACTTATTTGTGGATATTGACAACTGATTCCACAGTTTATATGGAAAAACAGAAGACCCAGAATAGCCACATAGCACTGAAGGAGAACAACAAAGATGGATGACTGACACTACCCAATTTCAAGCCTTTTTTTAAAGCTAACGTAATTAAGGTAGTGTGGTTTTGCCCAAAGAATATGTGAATAGATCAAGAGAACAGAACAGAGAGCCCCCAAAGAGTCCTGCACACTTAATAATCAACTGATCTTAAACAAAGGAACAGAGAAAATTCAATGGAGAAAGGACAGTATTTTCAGAAAATGTTGGTGAAATAACTGAACACGCAAAACAATAAACCTGAACAGAGATTCTACACCTTTAAAATACAAAATTGTAAGACTCCTAAAGGAAAACAGAAGAAAAGCTCGGTGACCTTGTGATTGGAGATGACTTTTACACCAGCTGGGGGCAGGGACAGCCATTCTCATACATTGCTGATGGCAGCGTAACTTGAATTCAGTTCTTCTGAAAGCTAATCTCTATCAAGAGCCACAAACACGTTCATATATTCTGACCTACTATGCCTACCCTAAGGAAATAATTCAAAAGAAGAAAAATAAACCATTTACAAACATGAAAAAAAACAAAAACAAACTGAAAACCTTTGCTCTGCAAAAAGAAGTTAAAAGAATGAAAAGACATGTCGCCACAGAATCAGAGTTCCAGCCTGGAATCTGGGGCTGTGAGGGCCTGCCTGGTGCTGCAATTTTCTAGAAAGGCTCAGTGTTGTGGTCTGAGGCAAAGTCTGCTCACTTCTCTCCCCCTCCCCCACACAGAGGGTATCTTCGTACCATACTTCCTGGGTTTGGGAGGGTTGAAGGTGGTATCGTGAAAGGCAGTTTCACAATAACTCTCTACAATGTAGATTTTCTTATTTCTGTGCTGCACTCAGTTGCTGTAATCATTCATATGAATTCTTCATCCCTTGTGAAAATATTTTTGTGCATGGAGGGTCGTTCACATTGATGTTTCTGTGAAGGGACAAGTGTTACAAAGTCCTGTTCCACCATCTTGCTGATGTCTCCTCAAGCCAAAACCCTACATTATTAAGTTTGCAGATGCATGGTTCATGGAAAATATTTTCATTTACTTAAATTTTTAACCTCTGTCAATAACATTTTATACTTTTAGTATACACAAGTCTTTGGTTTCTTTTGTTAAATTTATTCCTAGGTATTTTCTTTTCTTAGTCTTATAGATTGGATTGTTTTTCAATTCATTTAGAATTGTTCATTGCTTGTGTATAAAAAGTGAGGTGGGCTGGAGAGAAATTATCCCCTAGGTGTTGGAGTAGCCAATTAAAACAGCAGGCCAAAATGAAAGTCATATTTAAGGCTTTAATCATTTAGTTTGAGAGTATAAGCACGAGGCCAAAAAGAAGTTGGTGCTGGCTTTCACAATTTTCATTTTTCCCCATGAAATGGCACCAAGTGAAGGTCAGATGGATCAGTACACATGTGGGGAATAATCTGATTGTTGAGGGAAATAAGGCCAAGCTGCAAAGGCGAGTGAGCATTTCAATGTGCAATTAAAGGACAGACTTAAGCAACTGATGAGAAGGGGCAAAATAACTCCAGCCTAGACTACACATCTCAGGAAAGTGATCTGTGATTTCAATGCAATACTTCCCTGAAGGAGTACTTCTCATTTGTGCTCTGTGTTTGATCAGGTTATCTGCCCCCTTCCTTCAACTGTAGACTCTTTTATAGTTACTGATACTTTGATCTCTGTGGGGAAGCCTGCAAGTATCTTCCATGTCTTTTAATTTCTTTCTGAAGACAGAAATAAATGGAAGATTAAATCGCCATTAAACAGCAAGGGGTGGGAGGTTATGTTAACACATTTTGTTTTTTAAAAAGTTAGGATTTTTATTGACCAGTATCTAAACATAACGTGTTTCTCTGATTAAATTATATAAAAATGATTTTGCACAAAAATACTTTTCATCTCTGCTGCATACAACACTTCTGGACAAAATGACTACCTAAAGACCCACATCTGAGGGATGTGGTGAGCATTGTGGAGGGGAAGGGCATACCTCTAACCCCTGCTGGGGAGAGGCAAAGATATAAAATGTAACCAAAATGTTTGTACTTTCATATTTTCTTGAAATAAAATAAAATTTTTAAAAAAGAAAAAAAGATGTCTACATAAAAATAGGGGCTAAATTTTTTAATGTAAATATTGATTACTGAATTGGACAGACAATGTGGCACAGCTTCTTCCTCACCCAAAGCTATACACTGTGTTTGGGGGGGGGGGCAACTCAGTTTCCAGCCCTATGTTATGTGCTGTCCCTCTCCCGCTCACCCTGGCTAATCTTTCAGGTGAGAGATACCAATGGACTCACAAAGAGTCTTGCTACTGTATACCATGGAACCCATGTAGGTGATCCCTACATCTGCAAATAGCCACCTGATCTTTGCCCACTGCAGTTCCATAGGGATGAATGGGGCAGTGTGGGAGTCGGAATTCAATCTCTTGCCTTAGACTATCACAGCAAATGATTAAAAGCTTGACTAATGCTCTTATTCTGGCTTGTTGCTTTATTTGACTACTCATACACCTGACAACTCAGCTGGTTCTTGTGTATGGAACTTTTATTCTTCAACCTTGTTGAATTAAGTAGTTCCAACTAATTTGATTTTTAGCAAATTCCTTAGAATTTTCTATATACAGGAGTATATCACCTCACAGCATATAGGAACTATAAGTATAGTTTTACTATAAGCTTAGTTTTAAGTAACTATTCTGTAAGTATAGTAAAACTATAAGTATAGTTTTACTTATTCCTTTAGAGTCTGGATACCTTTTATTTCTTTTTCTTGCTTAATTGCTCTGGCTAGTACCTCCAGCACAATGCTGAATAGAAGCAGCAAGAGAGGACTTTCTTGATCTTATTTCTCACTTATGAGGAAAACTTTAACAATTACAATTTTAGCTGTGGTTTCTTTATCTTTCCTTTATCCAATAGAAGGAATTCCCTTATATTTCCAATTTGTTGAGAGAGGGAGTGTATGTGTGTGTGTGTGTGTGTTTATCATGAAGAGATGTTGGAATTGTCAAATGATTTTATTATGTGTAATGAGATGATAATTTTTAAAATTTCCTTTATTTAATTAACATATATTAACATATTAACATATATTACATTGATTGAGTTTTGAATGTTAAAACAACCTTGAATTATGGAATAATGATAATGATATTTTATCCTTCCAATGTTTGCTGGATCTGTTTTGTTGATATTCGTTGAGGATTCTCTATCTATATTCATAAGGAAATTGGTCTGTAGCTTTCATTTCTTGTGATATCTTTGTTTTGTTGGTATCAGAGTGATACTGGACTCACAGAATAAGTTGCAAAATATTTCTTTTTATTCTATTTTTTGAAATACTTGTGTGAAGATATAGTATAAATTCTTATTTTTAAAGTTAAGTATAATTTATTCTCATACCAAGTGGTCCATGGCTTTATTTGGTAAAAGTTTTAGAATTACTAATTCAACTTCTTTACTTATTATAAGTCTATTCAGATTATCTGTTTATTTTTTAGTGAGTTAGTAGATTGTGTCTTTTTTGGAATTGATACTTTTAGCTAAGTTTCTAATTGTTGACATAGAGTTGTCCCAGTATTTCTTTATAATCCTTTTTACATCTGTAAACTTTGTCATGATGTTCCTTTACATGCCTGATTTTACTGATTTGAGTGTTTTGTCGTTGTTGGTAAATCTAGATCAAGTTTGTCAACTTTGTTGATCTTTTCAAGGAAACAACATTTGCTTTCATTGGCTTTATTCTTTTTCTCTTTTTATTTCATTTATATACATTCTAATTTATATTATTTTGTTCTTTCTGCTTCCTTTGAATCTAGTTTGCTTTTCATTCAAAAGCAGAGATTTGCAATAAACTACCAAGAAAATGATGCAAATACCAGGGGAAAAATAGCTTTTCTATCTCTTCCACTCTCTAAATAGAGGTGACTCTCAACAATGAAATTTAATCCAGCAACTGGGTGCATACTCCATAGAGTTTTCAGTGGGAAAGCAATGTCAATTATAATAATATATTATTTTGTTCACTGTAATTTTGCATTATTTTCAAAGCTAGAATTAGAACAATTCGCATTTTTATATAAAACTTCCAAATGGAAAATTGTTCTGAGTTTTGCTTCAGCAAACCACATGTTTTAAAAGCAAATCCCCATCCAACTAATATTCTATCTACCCCTCACCTCTTCTTCTGCAACGCTTTGTGGAAGGCACTCTTCACCTGAGCGTTCCTCAGGCTGTAGATGAGGGGATTCAGCAATGGGTTGAAGAGACTGTGGAATAGGGACAGCATTTTCTCCTGCTCCTCTCGTTGATTGGAGTCTGGGACCATGTAAACCAACATGGCTATGCCAAAGAAGAGCCCAACCACACAGAGGTGGGAGGAGCAGGTGGAGAAGGCCTTAATGCGGCCCTCCTTTGACTGGATCTTTAGGATGGCCCAGAGGATGTGCATGTAGGAGGCAAGCATCAAGCAAAGGGGTCCAACTAAGACAAAAACACTGGCAGCCAAGAGGACCAATTGGTTAATCGAGGTGTCAGCACAGGCCAGCTTGAGGACAGACAGAATTTCACAGAAGAGGTGGTTCACATCCCGGGGCCCACAGAAGGGCAACCTTAGAAGGAGAGTTGCATGTACTATGGACAGGGTAAACCCACATGACCAGGAAGTGACAGCCAGGATTGTGCACACTCTCCAGCTCATGACGACAGTGTACTGGAGAGGGTGGCAGATGGCTACATACCGGTCATAGGACATCACCACCAAAATCAGGCACTCTGTAGCAGCAAGGGCCAAATACAAGAAAGTCTGCATTATGCATGGAATGAAGGAGATGGTTCTGGTCTGGTTCAGTAGGTTTGCCAACATCTTGGGGACATTGTTGGAAGCATAGGACATGTCAAGGACAGCCAGGTGTGAGAGGAAGAAGTACATGGGTGTGTGTAGTCTGTGGTCCAGACAGATGAGTCCCAAGATCATGCCATTGGCCAGGAGGCTGAAGATATATAACAGGGAGAAGATCCAGAAGAGGAGCTCTTCTTTCTCTGCACTGAGCTGGAATCCCACTAGGATGAATTCTGTGACCCATGATTGGTTGCTTCCCATTCCTAAGTGACAGTCCGTCAAAGACTGACGTGTGATGGAATTGTCAGAACTGGAGAATCAATGAAGATTTGAGTTATTTATCTGAGGATGAGCTCAAACAAAGGTTGTATGTTTCTATTAGACAGCCTCCCCAACTTCCCAAGATTTGCTCCTTTTTTATTTTTAGCATTTAATCATGAAATAAACTTATAGAAAAGCGTCAAAAATTTTGTGAAGAACTGTATACCTTCATGCAGATTTAGCAAATGCTAACCTTTCTTATTTGTCTTATTCTCTTTTTCTCTATATAGTTATATTTTTTGAACCATTTGAGATTAAAGGGTGAACATAATGCCCACATACCTCAAATTTCTCATAGTTTCACTATAAAAAAATCACTAACATGACCATAGTATAATTATTAAAATCAGGAAATATAATATCGACATGTTTCTTTTCTCTAATATGCAGTATTCTCCTTCCACTCAAACCTGTCAAGGACATAATCCAAGAGTACACATTATATTTAATGTCATCGTCATCTGTCTTTAGTCTCTTTGCTTGTGTAATATTTACTCAGTCTGTTTGTGCCTTTCCAGACACTGATATATTGAAGAGTGTACATCAATTGTTTAGTAGAATGTTCCACAAATTGGAATGTATAATGTTCTTCTTGTTTCATTTGGATTATTCTCTTTCTGCAGGAAAAATGGTGTCTTCCTGTGTGCCTTCTGACTAGATGTGTGTTGTTAATTTGTCCCATTGTTGGTGAAGCTAACATGAATCATGTGGTGAAGATAGTGCTTCCTAGATTTCTCTATTACACAATTATATTTTATCTAATTAGACTCTGGAGCATTCATTAAAATTGTGATATGTCTTGTTCCTCATAGAAGAACTACTTACTACTAGTTTCTTTCAGTAACTATTTTTAGCATCCATTGATTATCTTTCCTGACTCAATTATTAGTAATGATGATTGAAAATGTGTTGTTCTAATTTGATCATTGCTTTTACATTTATTAGTTGTAATTTTAGTATAATGAAATGCTTTATTTGTGTATCAATCTGTCTATCATCTATCTATCCAGTATGGATTCATAGAATTTTTTTTATTCAATGGGTTATATTTAATTATTATCATTTTTTCTGATGCTTAATTTTTCTATATTTGGACCCAAATATATGTATATATTTTTATATATTGTCCAAGACATATTTTATACTTTCTTAAAGAAGTTTATAATTACAACTTGATTATTTGAACATTTAAAATATTTAAAAACAATGTTTGCAAAGGAGAAATTCAAATAAGCATAATGATATAAACTATATATATTCGATCTCTAGACAAATGGCCATATGTAATTGTATTTATAGTGGATTGAATGGAGACCCCAGAAAGATATGTCCTCATCCTAATCCCCAACACCACTGAATATTGCCTTATTTGGAAAACATTGTATTTGTAGATGTGATTAATTTAAGAATCTTGAGAGGAGATAATCCCCAATTTTATGGATGAGCCCTAATTCCAATGACAAGTGTCCTCATGAGATAAAGGCAGAAGGAAATTTTTTAAAAAAACTGGAGAAGGAACATGGAGGCAAAGTGATGTGAAGACAGAGCACAGACAGATCTGACCAGAAACTGAGGATGCTGACACCAGCCATCCTTGGTTGGTGGAGGTAAGAAATGCATTCTCCCTTAGAGTTCCCAGAGGGAGCATAATCTTACTAGATTTCAGACTTACAGCAGACTCTGGAACTGTGAAAGAATAAATTCCTATTGTTTTAAGCAACCACATTTGTGGTAATTTGTTAAACCAGCTGTAAAAAACAAGTACAGTATCTGATACCTGCTTTGAATTGACGTTTATACGAAGACAATTTCAGAGCAATAGCTTTTTGGAGAAACTACTTCATATGAAGGTAAAATAACCTAAAGAGTAGGCTTGAAAATACATGTGACAACATTATGAGCTATTGGAAACTATAAGCCTAAGAAGGAACAGTTACATGGGCAAATTTCTATAAATATATTGCATTTGAGAAAGGTTCTACATATATATATATACGCTCTAAATTATTTTTGCTACAATTAAGGAATAGTCCTATAGTATGTCAAGTAGGGGATAACATCATATTTTATATAGACACACTTGGATATAATACTCAATTTCTGCAACAAATTTAATTTCTGAATGTAAAGGATAACAATATTGTTGAAGATAATTCAATCTATTGCTACTCAGTAAGAACATTTGATCCTTGACATTTTAGTGTGGTTAATTTTTATGGATTAATAACTCTCATTTTCATTATCCCTTCCATTTTGCTGTAAAATAATAGGCAACATAGAAAATAATATTGACATAGATTAAAATCTTTAAGTTGCTATCAGACTGGAATAGAGAAGAAAATATCTTGGTAGCGATACCGAAAACATCACCTTTCCAATAAAATAGATAAACAATAGTAGCTCAGAAAACAAAAGGTTTGCATAATTAGTATGAGTAATTTTCTACTCAGGCAGGCCTGCAGCCCAGAATATTTCTTCAGCGAAAGTGCTTTATTACATTTCTCCAACTCTTAATAGAGGTCTTGGCTGCTGACTTGTTCTATCCTATTTTTGTCACAGGAAACATGTTCATATAAAATATAGTGATTTCAAATATGATAGTTTTCATGATAAAGTGATAACCTGTGATAGTTCTGAAAAGAAATGTTATATGAGAAACTTACCTCTTGCACTGTTTCAACAAGAAAAATATTTACTGTAATTGTTGCTGGAAGTTTTTCTTCCATTGAGAGAGCTTTTCCCGGCAACCAATATCTTTATTTAGGCTAGGTAATATATAAGTCCTTTCATTAATCTGGCTATTTCAAAGCCTTATTCAGAGACAATGGAGATAAAGCCTCTCATTCTCCGATCCCTTCTCATGGAGACAGTGGCTCTAGCGCTGACCATTATAATCAGGACACACAGGGAGGTGGCAGTGAGAGGGAGTCCCTGGACCCTTGTCCATAGGACAGCAGGAGAACATTCCCTTTAGGGAAGGGGGACATTGGTGTCTATTCCAGCTACCTGCAATATACTCTTTGATTCAGGAGGAAAGATTACCCAGGGATGTCCTACCTCTGGCATAGCTATGGTAATTTCTGCTGTGGTCCTATTTTGCTTGCTGGTACTGAAAACCACCTCCCAGCACAAATGAAAATTATCTATATAAGAGATGGTAGCACTGGACTTTCTCTTAGGAAAATACCTTGACCTAGAATAAACTCTACTAGTTGAGCAACATACCTCTAAATGGGTATAGAACCCTGTTCCTTCTGCCAGCGTTCATAGGAGTAAATCCCAGATATAGACAGATTCAGGGACTTGCTGAAATTTCTTCAATGACCCCCAAGAGTATAGCTTTTATTTAGAATCAGATGAACAAAAAAATTCTTGAGTCTCTCTTGAGAATTCAAATTCCCAGAAGAATCATAAGGTATCACACCTTTTATCTTCTCCCTTAAGGGATAGAGAGGAAGAGACCTTTGAATTTGTTCTCTGGAGGGGAGCAGAGATTGTGTCTGATTGGACTCAAAGGAAAGATTCTAGTGAAGAGCTTGGGAGGCCAGATATTGGCATCACACTGTTTCTGCATAAACTTTCAAATATCTCAAGAGTCATAAACTTGAGACAGGTGTCACAAATTGCAATATCTGAGCTTTTAAAATTATTGTGGTTTTATGACTTTATGTTTCTCTACAATCCCCATTAATGTTTATGACAGTCTATGACTCCTAGGTGGTTCAGGGGTAGTTCCCAGGGAACCTAGTATAGCAACCCTGAGAAGGAATAGACCTCCCAGTGCCAAGGTGTATCTCTGTCTGCAGTAGGAAGTGATGGACACAAATGAGGAAGTATTAATACAGCCACCCATTATTGAGCACTTATTATGCTTCACAAAATGTGCCAAATGGACTAGATATTTTAATCTAATCACCACCATCATTTTACAGATATAAAGACTGAAGTATAAATATGCTATCTGCTGGTGGTCCCGAAATCTGGGAATTGCTGAGAAGCTTTCAAAGAGTCTGTGGGATAAAAAGTACTTTCATGATAATATTTAGATGATTTTTATCTTATTTTACTCTTATTCTCTCATGAGTACACAATTAATTTTCCTAGAGGCGACCTGTACAACTGTTTTCTATTAAGCCAAATATATTTTAAACATTTCAAAAATGGGAAACATAGTTACATTTATACTATTTTTAGGAGAGATAGTTATTTTTCATAAGACATTTCTTTTACCCTATCATGGGAGCCGTTTTAAAATTAATTGGAAGTAAATATTTAAGAAATTCTCAGTTTTAACTTGTATTGTGATAAATATCATTAAATATACCCACTTGAGCAAAATATCTTCAGACCCTCAGTAATTTTTAGGAGTTTAGAAGTATCCAGAGACTGAAAAGTTAGGGAATCATTGCACTAAATGATAGATCACCAATCTAGCAAGGGCCAGAGCTGGAAACAAATGATCTTTATTTAATACCAAAGATGTATTCATTTTCTATCTCTGCTGCAACAAATTAAGGCAAACTTTAAGTGGCTTCAAATAACACGTATCTGGTATCTCACAGTTTCCATTGGTCAGAAGTCGGGGTGTGTCAGCTGGAGTCTCTACACAGGCCCCACACGTTAAACCAATGTTTGGCTGGGGCCACCATGCCCATCTGACACTTGGGATCCTCTTTCCAGTTCAGTGGTTGGACTTGATTCCTGTGATTGAAGGACTGAAGTCTCTGTCCATTTCTGTTGTTGCTGGCTCTCCTCTGGGGCTACCCTCAGCCGCTTGCTGCCACTTTCTGATCCTCAAACACAGCCCCTCCTTGTTCAAAGCAGCAATGGTTTGTTTAGTCCTTTACACACTTCACATATCTCTAACTTCTTCCTCTGCTGCTAGATGAAGAAAACTCCCTGCATTCAGATGGCTCACCCGATTATTACCAAGACAGCTTCCATATTTGAAGATGTACTGATTTGCAAAGTCCCTTCATAGCAGTACCCAGATTAGTGTTTGGATAATAAACATCTTAGTGGTCCATCTAGAGAATTCTGCCTACTCCACAAACATTTTTTTTTAACCACTGTG